TTGGAAAGCTTTTTTCGCTTCTAGTCCCCGCTCAAAAGCATTCCGGAGGATTCTGAAGAAAGTTTGATACTTATTAGTAGACTTTAAGACTTATTTGTTGAGAGCTAACACTCTTCTATTAAGACGCTAGACCTTTTTTACAGTGGCAGGGGACCTCATGTCCAGAATGTCCATAATTTTTTTTGGATTCGCCTCAGTTTCCCTCTTGTTGACCATGAAGTCCAAGAATTTTCTTGATCCTACGCCAAAGGCGCATTTCTCAAGTGCAGTAAGACCTCGAGACATCAAAGGTCTCCTGCAAGTAGGTCATATGGTCTGCTACAACAAGGCTTTTTATTAACATATCGTCTACATATACCTCCATAATCCTCCTAATTTGTGACTAGACATCTTGTTTACTAGTCACTAGTATGTTGCTCCTATATTTTTTAGCCCAAAAGGCATGACCTTGTAATAGTAGGTCCCTTTGTGAGTGATGAAAGATGTCTTCTCCATGTCTGGAGGATACATGATAATCTGGTTATATCTTGAGTAGGCATTCAAGAAGCTAAGAAGCTCATGACCAGTTATAGAAGCAATGAGGATGTTGATGTGTGATAGGGGTAGTTGTCTTTGGGACTGGCTTTGTTGAGCTAGGTGAAGTCTATGCAAACGAGCTTCTCCTCCTGAGGGCTGGGACACAACTCCTTGAGGGTGTCCGGTGAGCATCAACTGGAGGATCTACTGGTTCTGGTTCACCAACAGTTATTGTCCCCAGTAATTGTTGTCCGACTATGAGATTTTCCACAGCAATGGGGTTTGCTGGAGAAGGCGGGACCTCGTCACAACGTGGTGGATCATTCTCTTCAGTTTGTTGATTCATGGACCTAGTTATAATATCCATAAAATGGAAATAAAGTAGGAAGAAATTGAAATACAGTAGAAAACTTAGTTGATTCCCACAGATGACGTCAAACTGATGATACACAAAACTTGTTTATACACCACGCATCAAGTATTAAATGCAATAATAAATTATGAGAGTCAACATAAGAAAAACACAATTTAAGAGGTTTGGTCAGGATTACCTACTCCACTATGAAGGGTTAGGATAGTCTGAGTAATTTATTTCTTAAGGAGTGTATAGTGCTCAGATGTAAGTGATATGTGAGAGTTGTCCCCTTGTGTAAGTGGGGTCTACAATTTATAGGTGTTTCCTAACAGATTGAAGCACCATTCGCGTATCAAGTGAGATAGTTTGGTGGAGGTGGTGCCCTTTTCATAACAGACAAGACAATTTTGTGGAGGTGGTGACATGTGCGTCCCAAGGAGATCTCTTCGCATGTTAGTTGTGGACTGAGTCTCTCGCTATGAGGTGGCTAACCTGACTTTCTCTCAAGATGGTGCGGTTGACTTATCCTAACTCCCTCCTTCCTGTGGTGGGTTTAGCCTGCATTCCTAAACTAGGGCTTTGAACTATCCTAGTCTATAATTCTGGGACTAGTCCATAATTCTAGGCCTAGTTTGGGCCGAGTCCATCATATATACTACTAATAAAAAGCAGCTAAGTGAAAAGCTTTTAATTCTCAAATATGTCTTTGATTATTATTGTAAAGTTCATTTAATCTCTAATCCAATAATTAGTGTAATTGTAATCAATTTAAGTTTTTGACCCTTTGTATTTGGGGACTAAATTTCTAAGTGATATATGTATCAATTATCAATTAAGCTTAGATCACTTCATAGACTCTTCAAATTTTAATAATTAATTTTCAATCACTAGGACCTCTTTGTATTCTCCATATTTCACACCACAAATCGATACAAACTCTATGAATTCTTTTCCATCAATAATCAATGTGTTAGTTATTAATTGGAGACCTTCCATTCAACCATCAATATTTGACGTCCTTTATAGAATAATAGACAGGGTGAATGGGTCTCTCTCCTTAAAGTCCTCTGGTTTAATCTCCACAATATGATCTCTCTTATATTTATGCATGTGCGCTTTTTAAATTTTTTGTATGTGTATACATAAAATGAGTTGCTTTTTTATTTCAAATGTCATTTCATTCGTCTATGCAGACACTAAGAGCATTATCTAATGTGGAGCACAAATGAAATCAAAGATTTTATGGCTAAGAATTAATCTGCTTCATCTGATATTTCATGTGTGGTTTTGTTCTTTCAATGTATAGATTTGGATCTAAAAAGGCTTTGATTGAAGATTTTGTTTTGATCGGATTAATTGAGTGTTCTATAGGTGCAATCAACGGATATCTTCAATCAACGAAGAATAAGCTGGTATTGTTATCTCATATTCAACTATAACCCATCTCTATTTCTTTAACTTTTTTTGCCTGTGTGTTAAGCTTCATTTGGGGAGGCTGATCAGAGTATTTTCTCTCAAACATTGCACAAATAGTGACACCACTCATTGATTTTATTTTGCCCAGTATTTTGATCATACATGACTATAGGAGTAAGGGGTGTATTAGTTGATATTCATGTTAAAATACTGGTCATGCATACAAACAAAGAGACTCTACATTTTATATATTTGTGTCAAGAAATCATAAATTTTTCTATATCTTTAGAATGGTTAAATATAATACGTTAATAGTTACTATCATATGTTCAATAAGGAGAACATAGAAAGTTCTTATGCAATAGGAGGTTTTCTTTATTTTTTCCTTCATATAGAAATAGATTTTAAATATAAAACCAATAATTTTGCCTCTAAAGAGCCCCTATGTTGTAATGGTGGTAGTTAGTTTCTAAACCTAATATTTTATAAAGACCAATTTACTGATGAAGTGTTGTCCATAATAACTATAAGTAGATATTGGTTATACTTTATGCTAGCTATCATATTGTTTGTCTTTGAAGTCCATTTTATTATTTTAGCATTTTTTTTTATGTTGAAGGGGAGGGGCGTTCTAATAGAATATGAATCTTCGACCATTTAACTGTTAATGTTTATTAAAGTTGTCACTGTTTGTGAATTTTTGCCTGTGTGTTAAGCTTCATTTGGGGAGGCCGATCAGAGTATTTTCTTTCAAAGATTGCACAAACAGTGATACAACTCATTGATTTTACTTTGTACAGTATTTTGATCATACATGACTATAGGAGTAAGGGATGTATTAGTTGATATTCATGTTAATACTGGTCATGCATACAAACAAAGAGACCCTACATTTTATATATTTGTGTCGAGAAATCAAAAACTTTTCTATATCTTTAGAATGATTAAATATAATAGGTTAATAATTACCGTCAAATGTTCAATAAGGAGAACATAGAAAGTTCTTATACAACAGGAGGTTTTCCTTCATATAGAAATAGATTACTAATATAAAACCGACAATTTTGTCTCTAATTAGCCCCTATATTGTAATGTTGGCAGTTAGTTTTTGATCCTAATATTTTATTTAGACCCATTTGCTGATGAAGTATTATCTATAATAACTATAAGTAGATATTGGTTATATTTTATGCTAGCTATCATATTGTTTGTCTTTTAAGTTCATTTTATTATTTTAGCATTTTTTTTTATGTTGAAAGGGAGGGGCATTTTAATAAAATATGAATTTTCGATCATTTAACTGTTGAAGTTTATTAAAGTTGTGGATTTTGCAAGAAGAAAAGTAATCAACAACTTTAATATATAACATTTTATATGCAAAATGGTATACGAGCAACGCACGTGAGCAACAACTAGTTGCAATAAAAAATTCCAGGAAACCTATAGGTGGAAAAAATATTCCAAGGGTTAATGTTGTTTGTCGGATCAATAATTTTGAAGTGATTTAGGCCGTTCGAACGATTTTATGAGTTTGGGATTCAAAATTTCTTGTACTTTTTTATTATTATTATTATTATTAGAGAGAGAGAGAGAGAGAGAGAAGCATTCGGCTACATGGTGACACAATAATTTAGCAAGAGGTCAAATGAAACATTTTTCTTATGAGTATTACTTCTCACACTTCTTAGCTATAGCTTTCAAAGGCTCGAATTTTCTCGCTGTCACTCCTATCTTGTCCTTCATGTCCATGTTTTCTGGAACAACACCATCTTCAAGCTCCCAGTCAAATTTGTGAAGCATAGAGCCTAAAGCAAGATGCAACATACGATGCCCTAATGCAAGTCCTGCACAAATCCTTCTTCCCGCACCAAATGGTATCAACCCGAAATGTTGTCCCTTGTAATCGATATTGGACCCTAAGAACCTCTCAGGCTCGAANGCAAGTCCTGCACAAATCCTTCTTCCCGCACCAAATGGTATCAACCCGAAATGTTGTCCCTTGTAATCGATATTGGACCCTAAGAACCTCTCAGGCTCGAAACTCATAGGTTCATCCCAACATTCTGGGTCTCTTCCAATCGCCCATGCATTCACGAAAACCTGAGTGTTTTTGGGTATATGATACCCCATGAAATTAGTGTCCCGCATCGCCTTTCGGGGCACTAAGAATGGAATTGGAGGGTGTAAACGTAGTGTTTCTTTCACCACGGCTTGCAAGTAATGCAAATCATCGATGTCACTCTCTTCAAGTTTCCTGTTTGTTCCGACTACCCTTGCAATCTCGGCTTTAACCTTGATCATTTTTTCGGGATTGCATAGAAGCTCGGTCATTGCCCATTCCACGGTGCTGCTAGTCGTTTCCGAGCCAGCTAAGAATATTTCCTGCAACACTTATTCAGTTAATTAGTAGTATTGTTTATAAACTATAGTATTATTTATTGTTGTCGGGTCTCTAATTTCCCAAAAGTTTTGCATATACTTCTTGACAAAACCAATAGAGTACTAGTACTATAGACACATGGTTTCACAAAACTGTCCTTTTTTCCCCTTGCCAAAAATAAAAACTTCCTTTCTGTTTCTGGGCTAAATTGGACAAAGTTTGCTGGTTCTCACCAGAGTTTCAACTGTAGTTATACAAAACCCACAAAAATATACTATTGATTGATGAGGAATAGCTTCTATAAATCATAAATACCAAACAATTAAACAAACTTCATGCAAGAATGTAACTAGTTATTACCAGTATGATTATGCTGAGGTCATGTTCTGATATTTTCTTTGGCTCATCCTTTCCATTACCTTCGTATTCTAGCAACACATCCAAGAAGTCCTTCTTTTCTCTACTACCTCGCAGCTCTTCCATCCGCTCCTTCACAATCCCAGAAGCGATTCTCAAGACGTTCCCAAGGTCGCGGTCCATCTGCCTCCTCAAACCCTGTGGATCGAGCCATCTCAGCCATGGAAACACGTCTACCACGTTTGGATGGCCCGTCCACTCCATTAGTCCGATCATAGCATTGAAGAACTCCGACCCTTGTTTTGATTCTGGATCCACCAAGTCCCGCGAAACTGCCAGGTTTCCAAGCATGTTGAATAAAGCAAAAAATATAAATCGGGCCACTTGAATCCCACTATTGTTCTTAGCTGCTACATTGGCCTCCTTTTCAATCCATGACAACATGTCANCCCTTGTTTTGATTCTGGATCCACCAAGTCCCGCGAAACTGCGAGGTTTCCAAGCATGTTGAATAATGCAAAAAATATAAATCGGGCCACATGAATTCCACTATTGTTCTTAGCTGCTACATTGGCCTCCTTTTCAATCCATGACAACATGTCATCGACACATTTTCGCCGAATGGAAATTGTCTCATTGATCCTTTTGTTCACTATTATTTCAACGGTCATTATACGCTTTAACACTCTCCAGTACGTGCCATAAGGGGCGAGGGCCACGGAACCCTGGTTGAATCCATGGGATCTCATGGTCTCGGTGACCGCGCGATCCACAAAGGAGAGGTCATGGTTCTTGAAAAACACGGTGGCGGCCTTGGCAGTGAGCAGCACCATAGTGTTTCTNGCTGAATCCATGGGATCTCATGGTCTCGGTAACCGAGCGATCCACAAAGGAGAGGTCATGGTTCTTGAAAAACTCGGTGGCAGCCTTGGCAGTAAGCAGCACCATAGTGTTTCTGGAACCAAGCTTGAGCCAAATAACAGGGCCATATTTCTCTCTAAGACCATATAAGGTCTTATGGGGCATGATACCAAGATCGAACATGTGACCGAATAATGGCCACCCGGGCGGCCCTGGTGGTGGCCAATTGTCGGCGGATTTTTTCCGGCGAAAGAGGAGGAGAAAGGCTGATGACAAAATTATAATGGACCAAACAAGAAAGCTCAGAGCCCCCTCCATTCCTCCAAATACTAGCTAAGCTACCTTTCTGTTGCTTCTTCACTCACCTATAGTCGGTACATGTATATATACTGATAGATTCACAAATGTGGTTGACTTTGTAAGCCTTCTAGGCCTTGAAAAATGTAATATAAACTATACAATGTTTGTGTGTGTACTAGTTCTGAACTCCTCCATGAAAATTGACTGTAGAAAAGGGCTTATTTTTTTCATATGACGATTATGCGAGCATATTGCAAACATATTGTGTAATCTTCAATTCATTTTTTCTTTTCCTAATTACAGTTAAACGCATTAGTGTTTTTAAATTTTTTATATTACACCCTCAATATATTAAAAATATTTTAAAGTAACCCTTCTGTTGGCTTTCATTATTTTTTTCGTCAAAAGTCACTCCATTAAATTGACAGAAAAACTAACAAAAAAGTTNTTTCATTATTTTTTTCGTCAAAAGTCACTCCATTAAATTGACAGAAAAACTAACAAAAAAGTCACATTATAATATTTTTGGTATATTGAATGTATAATGTAAAAAATTTAATCTTTAAAGATACAAGGTAAAAATTTAAAAATATTTCTAGGTAGAAAGTGTAATTCGCCCAATAAATTATTGTTTCCACCTACGATTTTACTGCTGCAGCCTGTATCCTTGTTTTCACTTTCAAATGTTTTTCGTTGAGGTTGTAGCATCTGCCTTTTGCTGCCACACATGATTAATGGGGCGGAGCTACACAAGGTTTTAGTGGGGGCAAGTGGCAACTGCCACGTTTAGTAGGTTTTAGTGTATTTAAAATTTGCCCTCACAAAATAAGTTTACACTTAATTTTTTAAATGTGAACTAATTATTGCACGTGTTTGAATACACTGAATAATAAAAAAAAATCAACAATAAACATATTTATATTTATACCCAAAATTAAATAATAAATATAGAGAAAAAAGAAAAGAATTTAAACACCAATTGTAGTGAGGGCGAGAAGTGGTAGGGGTGAGCAGTGGTAGTGATGATGGACGGCAACGGTGGTAGTGGGAGACGATGATGGTTGTGATGGATGGCGATGACCGTGGTGATGATGTCAGTCGTGGTGGCAACGATGATGGTGGTGGTTTTTGAGTGACAATAGTGGTAGTGGTAGTCATGCGTGACGGTGGTGGGTGTGGGTGGTAATAAGCCAACAATAAATATATTTGTATCAAATCACAAACATAGAGGAGAGAAAAATAAATTTAAGTATCGGTTGTAATGGGGATGAGCGATGGTAGTGATGGTGGGAGATGTTGATAGTTGTATTGAGTGGCAACGACATTGGTAATGATGGCAGCCGTGGGTTGCAATGGTGATGGTGGTAATGAATTTTGGGTAATGATGGTGGTATAGTGACAATCACGGGTGACAGCGGTAGTGATGGTGGATGTGGGTGGTGGTGGGCGATGATGATAGCGGCGGGGCGACGATGGTGAGCGGTGACGATGGTAGGTTATGGTGGTGGGCGGTGACGATGGTGGTGATGGACGATGATACGTGCTTCTGGGAGACAGTACGATGGGTGGTGGCAAATGACGTTGGTGATAGGTCTAGTGGGGTAAATGACAATGGGTGGCGACAGTTGTAAATGATGACGAGTGGTGGTGGTAGGTGTGGTGAGGATGGATGACAGTGGTTGGCGGCGATGTTGGGTGACTACGGGTGGTGGTGGGTTATGGTAATATAGATGGTGGTGGGTGCTGACGGTGGGCAATGGTGGTAATGGGATGATGGTGGTAATTGTTATAAATATAAAAATGAAATGACGATAGTGGTGGTAGTGGAATGATAGTTATAGTGACTATAAATATAAAAATGAGATGACGATAGTGGTGGATGGTGGCAGTGGACGACGATGGTAATAATCGGTGGTGAGTGGCAATAGTGGTGGATGGTGGCAGCGGTGGCAATGGTAATGGTGATGGTCGTGGGGGTAATGGTGGGGTGGGCGGTAGGGGTGCTAGGGGTAGAGGTGGGACAATGGCAATGGTGGTATGATGGCAGTAGTAATAGTAGTGGTGGTGGTGGTGGTGGTAAGATGACGGTGGTGGTGATGGTGGTGGGGATGGTGATGGTGGTGGTGGTGGTTGGGAAGTAAGGGTGGTGGTGGTGGTGGGGCGATGGGGGAGGCAGTGACGGTGGTGGTTGTTGTAGTGGTGGGGTAGCGGTGGCGATGGTGGTGGTATTGGTAATAATAGTGGTGGTGAGACGGTTTCAAATACTATTTTTTTTTTTAAAGTACTTATGATAAATTATAAATTTTAGAAATACTTTTAAAAAGTCATTTCAAACACACCCTTAAAGACATATTTTTCCTATTAAATTTGAGGTGTTAATATTAACCGTCGAATTAACTTTAAAATAAAATTTAAAGTAATCTTAACCACGAAAAGTAAAAGTCATTTTATTTATCTTTTAAAATTTGAATTATATTATATTTTATTATATAGATTAAATTTATTTTACTCTCAGTTAGGTTAACTTAATAATAATTAATTAATTATATCCCTCAAAAAATGTTTAAAAAGTCATTCAAAAGCACTTTGCTCTCCCTTTCGATATTTTGCTCCCTCTCTTCCATTGTTGTCAATTTATTTTCATATTATTAAAATTATTCGGTAGCAACTTCAAATGTGAGATTTCTTTAATATGACATGGGTGTCAATAATTTAAGTCGCGAAAGCATCCTCTCACATACACACATACACGGGATATATCTGACCATTCTCACACATCTATTAGAACATGCACATTGGGTCACCTTTTTTTATTCATTAATAGTTCAAAATTTTTAATCTTACTATGGTTAAAAGTGAAATGCTATTATCATTGATAATTTGAGAACATTATTTGATAATCTAATGTATTGTCATGATCGTATTAATAATGGGTCTCAATGCAGTCTATTTTGTTAAACCAATGACCTTGATCCATTAGTTCTCCAAATCAAGTAAATATTGTATTATTATTGTTAAAAATTTTGCATATGCTAAGTCAAATTTTTTACTCCACCCCTAATTGATACAATTATGTTTTGAAATCTCATTGAAATCACTTGGTTCCTCCCTTTTTAGGGGGCGGTAGTAGAACCACAATTTTCTCTTTTTTTTTTTCTCCAAGATGCAACTTGGATGGATCAAATGAATCCAGCTGAAGTCCAATCTTCGACATTCAATATTTTAGTAGAAATTTTCAATAGTCGGGGTGGATTTGGACAAAAGCTCTCAACTTGATTTAGAATGACGTATTTGTGTTTGGATCTCGCATTTTTTAGATCCTACCCAAACTACTTAGGAGTATATGAATTAGGGGTCAAACTAAATTTCACTCTAAGTAGTGTAATTTCGCAATCAAACCTGAATTGAACTCACTCAATCTGATCTCACCTAAAGTGTAACTTCACCGTCAAACCAAACAAAATTCAAACTTTAATCCAAATTATATAACCCAAGTTCGAACCAAACTCAACTTCCTATTTTTAAAATCGTAATTAAGTTTAGATGGACCTCTTAAATCCACTCAATTTCACCTCCAACTTTTTTTGGCTTCACATAGGGGAAATGATTCTAAACAAAAATTAGAGCATAAATGAAGCAAACAATATAAAAATCGAGGGTGTTAAGAATATTATATGAAGCCGGCCTTTTAGCAAAAAGTGATATTCCAATAGGTTATGAAATGGACAAAAGGAATAAGTTTAGGATATGGTGTGCTCACAAATGGCATCTAACGAGGGACAGCTCGAGACAAATGGGGCTCTAGGCATAGACATTAGACCTAAAAATCTAATCTTATTTGCTGATTTGATGATGTAATTTAATTGAAATAATTGGATAAAAAACAAGTTTCAGTATTTGATGAGTTTCGCAGTCAATCCAAAGTTCATAGTTTATCAGGTCCACAAATGAGGTCAAATTTTTAAATTTAAATAACATTTCTCTTACATAATAGATAGTGTTAGTCAATTGATTTTAATTGCAATGCACCAAAAGTTGTGTGGGCAGATAATGATTGCAAATAAAAGTAATACATATATCGTAATATGTATATTTTCGCTCTATTTATAATCATGTATAGTTAGATTTGTACCATATATAAATTGGGTTTCGATATCAATGTCGCTAATCAGGTTTCGTGTCGAACTGTGTATTTGAAAGGTTTATTAAGTCCACTCATTTATTGTCCATATGTACTAAGACTATAGTTTTTTTTTTCTAAGACTATAGTTAAATTTATTAATTATGTATTAATTTCAAATGAGGTTATCAAGTTGAACTTAAAATTGTCTACTCTAATTAAAAGTAGGGGCCTAAAAATTTTAAGAGGTCCAAAAAAAAAAAATTTAGGAACCCCCAAATTTTTCTATACGTTTGGAACCAGTAGCCTATGCCTACCTACCCTGGAATCTAACCTAACTCTTATCTATCCTTTCAATTTTTCATCATTTTAATTTTTCATCCTTCTATTTTTTCATCATACTAAACGGAGCATTAGTAAACTANGTTTGGAACCAGTAGCCTATGCCTACCTACCCTGGAATCTAACCTAACTCTTATCTATCATTTTAATTTTTCATCATTTTAATTTTTCATCCTTCTATTTTTTCATCATACTAAACGGAGCATTAGTAAACTACAAGACGTTCATGATAAAGTTAGTCTTTGGAATAATTAACGTTAATTGCCGTTTGTAGTATAACATAATAGAGACAAACTGTGCATAATGAGGAATTGGGTATCTTTTTCGTTGCAGAGAATTGTAGTAAAGGAATCTTTCCGGTACCTTTCTGCATCTTTGGAGCATCTTTTACGGATAAAATTGAAATCAGTGTCATGTTTTGAGAATAAAAAATATAATTTGACGNTAGTATAACATAATAGAGACAAACTGTGCATAATGAGGAATTGGGTATCTTTTTCGTGCAGAGAATTGTAGTAAAGGAATCTTTCCGGTACCTCTCTGCATCTTTGGAGCATCTTTTACGGATAAAATTGAAATCAGTGTCATGTTTTGAGAAAAAAAAATATAATTTGACAAAGTTCTATCAATTTTATTTTTTTTTTGAAAATGGATACATTACAACGTATGGTGTGAAATTAATTTTAATAAATTCTATATATTAAAAAAATTGACCTTAACAATAAATCAATAATTACACATATTGAATAAAAATTAAGAGTTGTACAACTATTTACTCCCCTTATAATAAAATCTCGGCTCCATCCCTGGCTTAGACTACAATATAATCTTCAATCACCACCATAAAACGAGAGGAGAAATATAATACAATACCCAAAAAAAAAAAAAATTCGATTCTATGTTGTCATTACAAATTTTATTATTTTTTCTACAAATTTTAAGGATCATTTATAATTTTTATACAAACTTGCGATTGACCCTAAAGTTGTAAAAGTGCCCTTAGAAATTTAAAATTTTGTTATTGTAAATAAACCTAAATACTTGTATCAAAAAATTATAAAATTTAGAGGTCCAATACGAATTTTTTTTTTTTCAATACCGTGATTTTCTCAAAAATCATTATATAGGAACCAATTGGTATCAATAGCTGTGTTGCCAAACCCCAAATTCCCTTCTTGTTGCTTTTCTCTTTCAATAATAATTCCATTTTTTTTTTTTTTTTTATGGAGTGTCGTCTACTGGGGAAAAAGGCAGAGCATCTTGATGACAAAGTACTCTTTAACATCCCATTACTGCCAACTTGGTACCGTATTTTTAAGTTATGTATTTAACATTGTATTCCAATTTGTTTAATTCATGCTAACCAATTTATACTCATATATGACTAGATTCGTATCGTGCCAAAATTATATCACGTGTAAGTCATCTTCAACCAAGTTGAAACCATGTCTAGGTGAATTTGTGTCAAATCAAAGGCATAAACGGACCAAGTTATAACCCAAATCTATTTACACAAACTCCTGCCCGCTAAATGTGCATTGGGTTCATAGGAGGAGCGATGTATGGTTCACGGTGGGCAAATGCCCCATCTCAAAATATATATATATATATTTATTTCCTAAGACATATATATTATATATTTATATAATATATCACTTGTGCCACCTAAAACTAAAGACAAAAATGCTAGGTCCACCAACTCCACCCAACAAATATTAAAAAACCAAGCCCACATAAAACAAAAAATTAGGTATTGATCTAGTTTTTTAATCGATTGAGTCGTCAGTTGATCATGGTGTATCATATCTTCTCAGTTTTTTACGGGTATGGTATGAAATTTTAGATTTTTCTGTAATACTTGTAGTCATATAGATAATGTTGACCAATATTATCAAGGCAAATAGAACAGTGAGATTAGTTTTTTATTTTATTAAGACTTTCTCCTGATGTCCTTAATTTTATTATTTATGAATTTTTACAAGTGAAAGTTTTTACAATTAACCTTCATTTAACTTTTTTTTTTACAAGAAATCACCACAATTTTTATTTAAATATTGATTATAGTTTTTACTATGTGTCTATCAATTTTAAATTTTTTTACTATGTTTAACTCTTAAATTTTAGTTTAATAATTTTACTATATTAATATATCAATGTTTTTGGAACATCATTTATTGAATAAATTTAATAAATTGTTACTGAATAACTAATGTTTTTTAATTACAAAGTGACAACTAGCTCCATTTTTTACGATGGTGATAATTAATCATTTTTTATACATATACAATATACATTATTTTTTGGCATTTTTTATGTTAAATGGAATTCATGTATAAAATGTGATATAATAAATATAAATATATTATATAGCGTTATTGGTAAGGAAGAAAAAAAATTATTGTGCTTAATTAATGTGTCCATCCTAAGCAAAATCTGTGACTCCGCCCCGATTGGGTTCGTATCTCATTGCAAAAGACCGAGAGCACTTTCAAACACATTTAATCAAATGAACAGTAATGAGATGCAGCAAGGATTAAACAAACTGGTTGTATGCCAAGAATATGTACGTAGCTCCAGAACAATTTCAGGCGAATCGCAAATTTTTGTTGTATTCCATTCTTCCACAAGCCACTACGATTACATTACTATCAGTACAGATCACACTCTCTCTTGTTGATGTATCCGCATCAACACCTTCATTGGATAATGATCTACAACATAAATAACATGAAAACCACTTATGGGTGGTCAATTAGAACGCTACTCAAGTTGATACACTCAGTAAATTAACAACATGGCTATATTAGGAACCACCCCCACCACCCAGCCAGCAAAGTTTCAACTAATGCATTGTCTGTTGATATCCTCAACCTTGATAGAAAGGTGGGTTACCTAGCAGAAAGCAGCATACGAACAGTAGGTGAAAATAGCTTGGCATGACAGCAGAAAGGCAATATACTGTATAGGATAGGAGATGGTGCAGAAACCTTAGCTAACTCTTCCTGTTTGATCAATTAGCGTACCAACTTGTTCTCCACATAATGCTCTTGATATGTTTCCAGGCTCATGAAGATTAAAAATCACGACTGCAACAAACAAATTTCCATTTTTCCATAAGGACATCCGGAAGAAAAACATGTCTGAGAAATTACAATTAACCCTAAACCCTAATTTGTAGGAACTATAAGACATGAAAGAATTATTATTCTCCAGGTTTATTGGCCTAATACTATGAAAGATTATATCAAGTCGGGGACTGTTATTATTATCATAATAATTGAGAATTACTCCAAGACCCCTTAGGTTTTTCACTTAATCGTTCAGACCCCTTGATAAAAATTCCAATAGATAGTATAATTGTATACTAATTATAATTTTTTTTTTTAAAATTAGATTTTTATTTTTGATTTTATTTCAATAAATATCATAATAGAACATAAATTTTTGTTATAAAATTTAAAATATTTCATATTCTATTTTTGATTAAAGNATAGATAGTATAATTGTATACTAATTATAATTTTTTTTTTTAAAATTAGATTTTTATTTTTGATTTTATTTCAATAAATATCATAATAGAACATAAATTTTTGTTATAAAATTTAAAATATTTCATATTCTATTTTTGATCTAAGTATATCATTTTAAACTTGAGGAATCTAACTATTACATACTTATAAATTTCAGGAGGTGTAGATGTAATTTATTAATGGACATTGACTGTCTAAGTGTTACATGAGCACAAATCTTAGGGGGTATGTGTGTAATATTTTAAATATCAGGAGGTCTAAGTGATTAATTGACTAACCTCAAGGGGTTTCGGAGTAATTCTCCCTAATAATTATAACTCATTAGAAAATGACACCAACAAAAGCCTAGATGCCAATGACCAAAGAAAAAGAAATTGTNATTAATTGACTAACCTCAAGGGGTTTCGGAGTAATTCTCCCTAATAATTATAACTCACTAGAAAATGACACCAACAAAAGCCTAGATGCCAATGACCAACATGCCAATGTGAAACACGATATTTATTAAGAGAATTGGCCAGAGATGCAAGTGACAGGAACGCTTGTAATAAGCAAATGTAGAACAAATATACCAACCAGGAATTCCATTCTCCTCACAGAATGTTACAGCCATCATATCCATTGGAGAAGCACCTCTAGAAGCCAACTCCCTGAAGGAAATGTGCTCAGCAGCAACATCATTATTTCTGGAGTCACAGACGACGACGCCATCTATATTGGTACCTTTCAGGACTGCATCAGCATGAACTGGAAAAAAAAGAAATCACATTCCTTTTCAGTAGAAAAATACAAATTATATAAGAGTTTGTATTTATCAAAGATTCACAATGGTTAAAGAATTTCCCAAAGGGAACAGGGCATACTCTCTGAAGCTCTAAGAGCTGCAGCTGTATCAGTAGAGAAGAGTGGATTTCCGGTGCCAGCTCCAATACCACCAAAAATTACAACCCTTCCTTTTTCAAGATGCCGGATCGCCCGTTGCCTACTATACGGTTCAGCAACCTCTGCCATAGAAAAAGCAGATTGCACACGTGTCTGAATACCCATCTTTTCTAAAGCTGACTGAAGCAGAATAGAATTCATCACAGTTGCCATCATGCTGGTTACAGTTAAAACATCACCACTTAATCAGCTCATAACAAAGACAAAGCTAAAAGCAGTATGGGCATCAACAGAATGGCTGGCATCACATTCAACTATGACAGAAGGAGGAAATAACACTTATAAATTATTCTAATCACAATAAAACAGACTCCATGACCATCATATGCAACTAAATTCAATGACCCGAACACAACACTTATTCAACCTACACCATCATTGTAACTTCACATCCAAGTTTTGCATGACTTTAGGTGAATAGACAAAGAGTATAACTTTAGGTGAGTATAGAGAACAAATGAATAGCTTGTCTTCATTTTACTTGTCTTCACCAGGGGTCAACTAGAATAAAGTCTCATCAGAAGGCAGAGGAAGGTTGCACCATAATCAGTTTATATTAGTGGTTTGCATCAACAAGTGGCATGAGCAAGGCTCTCCCATCTTAGCAGGTGGTCTCAATGATTCACAATCAGGTTAAAAACTAAGAGGGATTGTGCTTTATATTCTATTGCGGGGAATAAAAGAAAGAGAAAATTGTTGAAAACTAAAAAGTTGGTACCAAATTTGTAAATAAGTTCAGACTTGTACTTTTTAAGGCGTGAGGTCCAACTCAGCTGAACTTTTACGGCAAGATACACAAAACCAAAGAAAAAAGCAAAAAGTATCAACACACACACATTCTCTCTCTCTGTCCTCCTCTCTCTCTCTCTATCCCGATCTTCTTCAGAACTCTCGTTGGCTCTCTATACCCACAACCACACCACACACATATAGCTATACAGAACAATCTTTGAAGGCCAATGGACTGCACACAATCAAAGATATAAAAAGAAGAGTCTATAACGCGATTTTAAGATCAGAATCTGTTCATGAAGGACACGGTGACAGCTCGAAACACCTTCGCAGCTGCCCACTCAGCCTACACCATGTCGTAGAAGAACACCGGCACTGCCTCCATGACTACGCCAAAAGTTGATCCTAATTAAAGGTTTGTACCAAAGAAAAGTGAGAAATCCATTAAGGAATCTTCAACTTTAAGTCCAGGACCAACTAATATACCCTTCAACCCTTGGATTAACTATTTCAATAATAGATGTCTTCAGGTAATGAAGTTAATAAAAAATTTGGGTAATAATTTATATCTTTTTTCACCTTTTTTTATCAACAACGGTGCACATGTTCAAGAACACAATCAAGATCTTCGTCTACTTCTAAAACATTAATTATAATATAAGAAAAAAAAATCACTATAGTCAATTTTCCTTCCCTTTCGTAGATTGTTAATGTCGTTGATTGGGTGATAAGGCACGTCCAACCAAAACACTCCAGTACTATTATTGAAGAAGAGAACGAGGATGATCTAGAAAGTATCCATAGTTTGAAATATCGTAGTAGTAAAGGCAGTGGTGGTGGTGGTGGGGTCAGAAGTGGAATTGAGCATAGAAGGTCTGATAATTAATTAAATTAAAAGTCAATCACCCGATAGTGAACTAAAAAATTCAACTCTTCTTTCATCCACAATATATAACAATACATATTGAGTTCTTTTAGTTCATTGTTGGATAGTTCCCGGTCGCGGGGGTGGGGGTATTTTTGTCAACTGTATATTTTATGAACCTTTTGCCTTAAAAGTATCCGGGGTGGACCTCTGCCCTTAAAAGTCATGACTTTGTATCTATTGCCTNGGTGGGGGTATTTTTGTCAACTGTATATTTTATGAACCTTTTGCCTTAAAAGTATCCAGGGTGGACCTCTGCCCTTAAAAGTCATGACTTTGTATCTATTGCCGGAGTTCCCTAAAGGAAATATATGCTTCCAAATTATTATAACATGAAATATGCACTAATCCTATTAAATCAAACTTTACCATGATCAGACTCCCTCAAACTACACAAAAACATCACATAATATTAGCAACTACACTAGAACATCACAAAATATTAGCCTTCAATTCCATCCACCCGAGCCAGAAGAGAGTACCTATAACAGCAGCACTCTTATCACGTCTGTTCTTTGTTCCATTATTATCAGCAATAACCCTTTCCCCTTATATTTCAATATTGTCTCGCTCAATGACTACCGACCTAAGAAACATGCACACGGACACGGGACACGGATACGACACGATACGAAGACGCTGACAGACATTTCTCAAAAAAGTAGATCACGGATACGTTGGGATAGGGGTGGCAATCGAGTCGTGTTGTGTCGGGTTCATGTCGTGTCGAACATTAGTCAATCCATACCCAACCCATTTAACTATTCGTGTCATGTCGAGTTGACCTATTTATTTTCGTGTCGTGTTCGTGTTCGTGTTCGTGTTCGTATTCGTGTTGACCTACATAAACTTTGAATAAAAAATTTAACGCTAAAATTTTATTTTCACTTAATTGAATTTCTCCTCATACTTTTTTTACAAATTAAAAATTAACTTAATAATAATAATAACAACAATAATGAGCAATAGTATCTTTTTTATACAATAATTATGTCAGTGCTTGATAAACAGTTAAAAATAATTAATATTTTATTTATATAATACTAATTAAATATGTTAATCGTACATCATACAACCAAATTAAACATAAGAAGTAATAGAAAAAACAAGTCATCAAAACATGAAAACTCATACATGCAACAAAAAGGTCAAGTAAATCTTCTTCGAATTAAAAACTTCGTGTTGACGGGTCAATTGGTGTTAAACGGGTTGAACCCGAACACAACCCATTAACACTTCGTGTTGGCGGGTCGCNCGAATTAAAAACTTCGTGTTGACGGGTCAATTGGTGTTAAACGGGTTGAACCCGAACACAACCCATTAACACTTCGTGTTGGCGGGTCGCGTCATACGCAGGTCGTGTCAAAAAATTAGTCAACTCAAACCCATTTATTCGTATCGTGTTTCGTATCGGGTTATCGTGTCGTGTCAGAAATTACCATCCCTACGTTGGGGACACGCTATAAAAAAAATTATATTTTATATATAACATTATATAATTTATTACAAATATAATGATAATGATATATAATTCATAAAAAATTCAATATTTTATGATAAATAAATTTAATGTCTAGTCATCTATGTGAATTTTTAGACTAAAGTATCCTCATTATAATTAACAATCATCAATATTTTTTTGTAGACAATGAGTACCTAATATAAAATTTAAATAATTGCTCTCATTTTCTCAATTCATTTTTTTTAAATTTTTATATGTCTATTATTTAGTAGTAGACACATTCTAAAGAAGTGTCGGACACGTCACCAAAGAAGTGTCCGAAATTAAAATTTTATCTTTTAATTATAGATATGGATAAAAGAGTGTCGGTGTCCGATACATGTCCGACACGGATACGTCACCTTTTCGAGAGTATCCGTGCTTCACCAACATACCTAGATCATGTGCACCCCCATCATGCTCTTGTTTTGACTCATTTGGAGTGGGCCATATCTCCATAACTAAAAGGGATGAAAACCAATTATAGAATGAATACTTTTTAAATACGTTTTTGTTAAGAACTGAGATTTTGAAATGCCTTGTTTTTTGTGCACCTTCCACGACTTTGTTCCAGTTCAGCACAAAACAGAAGCAAAAATGAAGCAATGTTTAACAAAAACAGCACACAGACAACTAAGTGCATTAGATTTCCACTGAAGCAAACAATAAGAACTCAAACAGGAAACAATAGTGTACAACATCAACAAATCTTAAAAACGAGTGAAAGAACCAAACTACAGCTTAGCAACATCAATTGTATTGAAATTCAAAACCATGCTTCACATGCCTTGTCCAATCACAGTGCATAACATGACATGCAAAAAAAATTAAAAAAANAATTGTATTGAAATTCAAAACCATGCTTCACATGCCTTGTCCAATCACAGTGCATAACATGACATGCAAAAAAAATAAAAATAAAAAGACATTACCAATTCTGGAATTGAAAATTGTGTAGAAAAGCTATACGCAATTTAAGAAATAAAAATTACCCAATCTGATACGCAGTACATCTGTCTAACCCAGTTGCTGTTACCCATGTGTCCCCGCAAAAGAAATTACGACCACCGACAACTATTGCTACCTGAGTTAACACAGAAGCACATGCATGTTGCAGAAAAAATTTAGTATATAGCAATATCCCACATTGCAAATAGCAATCATTTGAAAATAAATACCTCAACACCAACCCGGCAAGCCATGGAAACTTCTCTTGCAATCAGCATTGCCACCTGCCAGATTTATAAGACCAATCCAACTTATAAATTCTAGACAAGATAACATGTCAACTGGAGGCAATTCACTACTTTTTATTTTCTTATATTTCAACCAATAGACAATGTTTTAAAACCCAAACCTGACTTGCAGTCGGACTGCCATCTCCATGAACCATGTAATTCCACATTTTACAGGAAAATCCCAACAATTCGGGTTGTCTAAACCAGGAAGTAAGCAGGACCACCCATGACACAGGTCATCAGATCCATCCAGTTACAAAACCTACTATAAGAAATGCATCTAGTTCATTTCTCTCTTCCAGACAACAGCAACCACTCAGGGTCCTTAAAATACTATGCAGTTAGCATAGAAATTGCTTAGGAGCCTAACCACGTCTAAACAGCACTCCTAAGCCCATCATTTTTGATTAATTTCAGCCCAGGGCAAGTTCATGAGTGTCGCCAAAAAGGTTTTGAACCTCAAAGTTTTAATGCTATGGCAAATAAACTAGTGATATGCATCTGGGAATACTTTATGTGCTTGATTTTTTGCATCTTAAACTCCAACCCACATGCAACATCACAATGCTGTTATATTTAATAAAAGTTCTTCTTTGTTCTCATTAAAAAAAGAACGCCTAGTGCACGAGCCTCAGTAGTGTACAAGCCTCCGATTTGGAAGTTTTAGCGTACATATTCTTATTCTCGCATGCAAAGATGTATTTTCGTGAATCAAACCCTTGGTACCAAAGTCGCAATGAAGCAACCGTACCACAGATGCCCAGCCTTCCCCTTTGTTCTCATTGTCTTTCAATTTTTAGCTTTTTTTAATTCGTAAATGAATTATACCTAACCTATTTAAGTTGCCATGATACCTTTCTCCATTATTGTGGCCCATAAAACAATTCACAATTATTTGATTCTCATCTCAACTCATTAAAACCTTGATCCAGCATTGCAGAATTAGATGACTAATTCCTTTTATTCCTGAATGGTTGTTCAGTCAGTAAAGATTTGACAAAATCAATCACAAAATTGTTTATAATCATGGAAACAACATAATGTTACAATTCAACCACTTGACTAAAGTGGTTAAACTGCTGGGACTGTGAACAGAATTTGTTTGACACTAGGAGCATTGCCAAAAGTATGGAGAAACAAACCTTTGGGTCGATACTATGAGGACCAGTTCCAGTTAGAGCAGCACCACTAATTTTGAAAACCACTCTCCTCCATTTAGGACTTGTCAATGATTTTGACTTCATGTTATTAATCTGGCCACTGGAGCTGGGGGGTGTTGTTCCATATCTGGCAAAACAAATGATATAAACTCATCCACATCATAGTACAAACAATCCATTAGATAAATGCATAGGTCGACTTAAGTTTACCCAATCAAGAAGTAAAGATTTACCCCTACGAATCAACTCAGGCTGAAATTGGGGGCAAAAACAATTACCCAATGCAATCCCAATTTTGCGCAGTGTTGGGAAAGGCAGATCCAATACAAACCCAATCTTCAAGTGGTTTGCACAAAGTAGTTGTTCTCATGGGATAACAGCATACAAACCATATTTAATAGGTGGGGGTGCCTTGGTGAACGCTAGTGGGACAGGAGGAAGGTTAATTCTAGAGAGAAAAAGAGAATGAACATACTGGCGGTTGAGATTTCGTTGATGAGATGGTGGGGGTTCATAATTAATGAAGAGAGTGTAGCAGTGATGCTTTTTCTTGTTAATTGTGGTTATGGTAGTTTATTTCTTAATTCTACACAAAGGGTGTTCAAATAATAGAATTAAGGAGTTTGTTGAAGGTCATGGCAGTGGAACTCGAGAATATCCCCTTTTTTGCATTACTTCAAATTGGAAAGCTTCATGTGGGGTGTAGTTGTCTANTCATGGCAGTGGAACTCGAGAATATCCCCTTTTTTGCATTACTTCAAATTGGAAAGCATCATGTGGGGTGTAGTTATCCGGTCTTTTTCATAATGTATTTTCGTTTTTGACTTGTTGGTTTGGGCTACTTGTCCATCCCTCACTACTTATTGTACAACCTTTTACTTTGATTACTAATTATATCATTTGCTATAAAAAAAAATGGCAATGGGCCAAGTGGTGATGGGGGTGGCGGTGGTAGGGTGGTGCTTAGATAAGTAAGGAAGAAGAGTGAAAAGAAGATTTAAGAGGATATGGTTGTTTTGATGTATTATTTAAGTCAACTACTCTGTTTTGGATGCTTGAAGTTGATTTTGAGGGAAAACTAACAGGTGGATTTCATCCACTGGCATTATTTCTAAAGCGTGAGGAGATAAAGTTATTTGATGGATAAGATTGAAGATTAATAGGTTTGCAACGTGATTTAGTGTGTTTACGTTTACAGAAGCTATAATCAGATCTCTCATATCAGAGAAAACCCTGTGAGAAAAAAAAAATTTCTTCTCTCTTCCTGGCTAGCAGAGAAGCCTTCCGTTACATTTGATCCTTTGTCCCCTCTTTCGGAGCCGTAACATCGACCTTATTTATCTTAAGTAATTTAGTTTTCATAATATGGGTGAAGTGTAGACTTCACTTTTACTAGAGGTCCTTACATAGCTTCATGCATGTCAATATTTTTTAGATAGGAACTTGTAAGTCGATAGTTAAGCTAGGAAGTTTCACAGTTATTGCACTTGCCCCTCAAATTTCCAGCTTTGAAGTTGATAGTAAGAAGTTGAGAATTTCTTGGAGATGGTAGTTGCTATTTCAAGGGTTGTTCATGTCTGCATCACGATATTTTAACAATTTAAATGATTTCCACCCAAAAATAAAAACATGGCTCATAAAAAAACATGATCACAATCGATTATCAATCTATGAAATAAAATGGTACTGTAATGGTAAAATAAATTTCCAAGCATAATCAATGAATCAATGGCAAATGCATATACCTCTTCAACTGTCTACTTGAATTGCTCTGTTCCACAACCACAATCGCCTTTTCCTCATCTGCCACATTCTTCACCGGCAATGAATTGCCAACAATCTGCTCCATTTGTTTAAACCAAGGCCAATGACTCGCCGAAACGCCGCCATTACTCATCCGATGTCTCTCCAACTTATACCTTTTCTTCAAATTATCCACCTTGTTCTTACACTGCTCCACGCTCTTCATTTGCTTCTCACACCTCTCGCTCACTATGGCCGCCACCTCCTCCCAATCCCTCCCTCTCAAATTCCCCTTATTTAACTGCATAAACTTCTCCGTATAAGCATCAAGTAAACAAGCTATCGCTGTATCACTCCATTCTTCTCTATCTTTTCTATATTCGCCACCACCGGTGGAGCCACCACTTCCACCGCCATGCGCGGCAGATGAGCTGAGTTTTGATTTCTTGTAAGAATACGGCGTTGTTCCACCATCACTGAGATCGTCTCTGTCCGTGCGTTTATCATTGGAGGGATTAACCCTAGCCTGATTCGGATTTGAGTCAGTTTCTGTGGAGTAAGGGCTTATATGGACACCGTGAAACGACGATGTGTTGTTTTTGAGGTCAGGTTGCGAATAAATTGCACCACCGTCGCTGTAGTCATCGTTTTCAGCAGAAACGACGTCGTCCTCGGCGGAAATTCCCTTGGGACTTCCGGCGCTGGCCACAACAGCGGCGGCAACGGCTGCTATGGAAGCGAAATTCGGTGGCGCGTGGATCGGAGTGGATTTTGTTGGATATCGGTGGCCATAGGGTTGGTTGTGCTGGTGGAGATTAGGGTTAGGGTTTGATTGGCTGGCGTTGTCATCACCGAGGAGAGAGAAGTCGTCGTCACAAGACGCCATGGGAGATGGACGGAAACGTTAGGATTAGGGGCTTGGGAGAGACGGAACCGTGAGGACAGACGACGTTACTGGAAGGAAGGAACCGTCGGGTGTACCGTTAACTAGTAACAAGTGTGTGTGCCGTTGATATGTGATAGTGGGACCGTCGTAGTTTTAACGCGTCCGTTAGGTAAGAAGTAATGTGAAGTCACGTGGTGGGTCCCCGAACGGCAGCATTAAGTACCAAACATGTCTCGTGACTTCGCTTTTCCGTTACAAATGAGGCCAGTTTGTTTTTGTAAGGACAAATTATACTTTGTAACCTTAATTATGACGTATTTTTACATTATCCCTTTTATTATTATATCACCATCAATTATGCGATAAATTTCATATCGTNTGGGTCCCCGAACGGCAGCATTAAGTACCAAACATGTCTCGTGACTTCGCTTTTCCGTTACAAATGAGGCCAGTTTGTTTAACTATTAATGTCTATTACATATTTAACAGAAATTTATTTTATTTTAATTCCTGAATTATGTATTTTTTTTAATTTTGTTATAACACATTGACAATTTTCGTTTAAAAATATAGAGAAATGGATGTGATTGAAATAATATGAAATAAATCAAATAATTAAGGGGTAATATAAAAAATAATAATTGTTCAACGGTTAAAGTGGAATCAAGCTTATAATTTTGAGGATTAAAGATTACTTTTTCCGGTATTCCTACTCAAATAGAGAATTGGCCACCAAAAATAAAGCTCTAGGAGCATCTCTTGGAGATGTTGTAAAGCAAAAAATAGCTAAAATTTAGCTAATTAAAGTAAAAAATCATAATGCAACAGAATATGTTTAGATATTCTAAAATAGATTTTTACTACAATAATACTCTAATATATAGAGTATCAATGTAGCAATATGTAAAATTTGTTTATAATATTTTCTCTCTCTTCCTTTCCTTTCTACTTCTACTGTTCTCTCTTTTATTATTCTCAAAAAAAATAATACAAAAAGAATGAGAAATAATATTTAAAAGAAGTAGTTAAAAATATAGAAAATTTGTTCAAATGTATATTAAAAAAGTGAGTAGTTAAAATAGAAAATATTATTTTTTGAGTAACTAATATAGATTTTGTTGTTAGGAATGCTCTAATAAGCTCTCTATTTTTTTGAGCTACAGATTCCATACGCCTCTTTTCTTCGTTTCTCTTCATAGGCTCCATAACAGTTCAGTTCACCCAGCCATGTGAAGGGGGATGTCACTGAAGCTCAATGCTATCTGTTTCAATTGCCTCCTCTTGAGTGTCTTGCTTGAAGTTGAGCTCAGCTACTACCCCCAAAGCTTGGTTGATAATTCATCTCGCTTGTGGCTCTCTATGGTGATACATCCATTCATTACGGGTTTTCCATATCAACCAGCATTGATAAGCCAATAAGGATTGTCCAGTACTAACTATGTCTCTGCCTTTTAACATCTGCAGTTGTTTCATCAGCCAGCCCTCTATCCTCCTCACTTCATATCGATCAATTCTTATATTCAAAGGAGAAATTTGCCAAACCTTACTATTCCAAGGGCAAAACAAAAGAATATGCTGCAACTTTTCATCTTCTTCCCGGCAAATAGGACAGGCAGGTGTTTTGGTTAGCTTCCTCTTCCATAGATCCCACCGATTAGTAAAGCTCCGTTAATAACTTTCCAAAGAAAGGCTCTTACCTTTGGGATAGCTTTGATATTCCACACCAATTTTCAAATGCCTTGTGGAATCTGCTATGAAGAAGCTGCAGCTATAGAATTCCTTGTATAAATCTTGTCTGCCTTCTGAATCTAGAAATGATATCCACTCCCAACAGAGTAAAAGTCATTTTTCGTTTATGGTCATTTGATTCTATCAAGCTGTTGAGTTTCATCTCCTATTTGAGCTAAGAATCAGTTCCTAGACCTTTGTGACATTACTCTGCATACCATTCTGAATTAGTCCCAAGCCAGACACCCATCTATCTTTCTAGTAATGTGCTTGACTTTCATCCCCAATTTGCCAATAGCAGACTTCTGTCAATAATTATCTCCCTTCCATGATCCATTTGGTTTACGCTTTGACTGCCACAAAGACTTTCCTTCATAGTACTTTGCTCTCGTAAAGTTGGCCCATAGAGATTCAGGATTTTGAGCTAGTCTCCATTCTTGTTTGGCTAACATAAGCTCTCTATTTAAACTACCTAAAATAGAAAGTCTTATTTGGCTCTTTATATTTGGAAAGTCCAACTCACTCTCTATTTCTATTTTTAATTAATGATAATGTGACAAATATACATTCTTCATTAAAAATGTTATCGACTATAAGACTATTTTCTACTATAATAGAAAGTTCATTGAAGTTGTCAAAAATATTTTTCTCTTTGTTTTAAAATTTTATCAAAAAGACTCTCTATTTCAAAACAAAATACTTTCTAAAATAGTAAGACTATTGGAGATGCTCTAATAGATATAAACTAATGGATCAAAATTGAGAGAGTAGTGGATTGTTTAAGTTCAACCCGATAATTTAAAAATNTTTTAAAATTTTATCAAAAAGACTCTCTATTTCAAAACAAAATACTTTCTAAAATAGAAAGACTATTGGAGATGCTCTAATAGATATAAACTAGTGGATCAAAATTGAGAGAGTAGTGGATTGTTTAAGTTCAACCCGATAATTTAAAAATGCTCAAATGGAATGGATCTTTGTTATCTCACAAAACCATTTTTAACCAAATTGATAAAAGAGCTCATATGAATGAGTATATTTGTTAAATATTAGAAATTTATCTAATATTACAACAATGAAGTTGAACTCTCAACTTATAAAAGTACAACAACAGTCAAGATTCATTTAATTTTTCGTCAACTTTGATTTGATAACATAAAATTCATCCTAGATTTTTTTTTTTTTTTTTTGCTCAAAAAATTATTTTTTCCACAGAGTCTTCAATGTTAAGTAACTCAATCAACATATTCTTTAATACCAAATAACCTCATTAATCCACACTTGTATCTCTCTTATTTTTTATTTGTTCACTTTAAGTTTAATCATGTAATTAAAAAAATATAAATAAAATATTATTTTAAATATAAATATTGTATGATCAATATTTAATTTTTAGTATTGTAGAGAATTTTCAGGCACGAAATTATTGTCAGTAATAAAATACAAGACAACTTAACAAGGAACAAATGAGGCTTAAAAGGAAATGAAATTGGATTTGTTAAAGGAAAGGAGGTAACATAAAATTTAACTAAGGGTAGAGTCAAACATAAATATAAAATTGTCATGGAAATGAGAATTACACATCGATCCATTGATTGGGTTAGGCATCTCTAACTCTTTTAGACTCAAATTTAAATTTGAGTAAAAAAATTTAAAAATCTTGTTCCAACCATTAACTCAAACTTATATCAAATCAAGAGAAATTTTTTTTTTTACTCAAATCAAGAAAAAATTTAAATTTTTATTTAAATCTTTAATAGTGGGATTTCACAATCTTTTAAAAATTCAATGGTCATCTTTATTCCCTTTTAAATTTGGATTTGTCCTCATTTAAATTTGACTCTCTTCTTCTTTAAATTTAAATTTATCAATTAAAGTCTTTTATATCAAATCAAACTTTTTATTCAAATAATATTTTATATTTAAATAAAAATTTGAGTCATGATTGAAAATATTCACCGTAGGCCGAGTCACATTTATTCGGTCTTTAGTAGTGGTGTTCGCACCATTTTCTCTTGAGCGCTCTATTATTATTCCCTCATGGACAGATGGCAAACCCACTTTCAGTATATGTGTATTCATTCAATTCAATTAAAGACGTCCATAATAGCTCTGTTTTTTTTTCAGAAACAACCTTCTCCATTCGAAAGAAAAAGTATTTTATGGAAATAGCTATTCAAGATTAGTGTTTGACTCNTTCAGTATATGTGTATTCATTCAATTCAATTAAAGACGTCCATAATAGCTCTGTTTTATTTTCAGAAACAACTTTCTCCATTCGAAAGAAAAAGTATTTTATGGAAATAGCTATTCAAGATTAGTGTTTGACTCTAAATGTTGACTAAAAAAGGGGTAAGGCTCAAAAAATGGTTGTGGCCCTATAGCTATAGCTCGGTCACCATGTGACGGTTTTTTTTAAAGTTGGTACACTTTTAACAATTTATTTGTCAAAAAAATACAATCACAAATTTTTTTTGTTAAGAAGTACATAATAATTTTGTAAGACCAAAATACCCCTTAACAATGATGTGTTATTTCGTCGGAGGCGTCGAATTGGTTCTAAAATCATAGTATAACCAAAATCTTCGCTATTAAAGCCANGTTGGTACACTTTTAACAATTTATTTGTCAAAAAAATACAATCACAAATTTTTTTTGTTAAGAAGTACATAATAATTTTGTAAGACCAAAATGCCCCTTAACAATGATGTGTTTTTTCGTCGGAGGCGTCGAATTGGTTCTAAAATCATAGTATAATCAAAATCTTCGCTATTAAAGCCGAAAATAACTTCNTTTTCGTCGGAGGCGTCGAATTGGTTCTAAAATCATAGTATAACCAAAATCTTCGCTATTAAAGCCGAAAATAACTTCCGATATCAGTTATAATATTTGAAATTTGAACAAAGGCAAATAATCTGAACTGTCATTTATGGGGGCATATTTATAGGATTCAACTTCCTAACTATTTTATTATATAGATATGTATATATTTGAATTCAATATATATATATATATCCATTTATACATATACATGTTAAAATTAACACAATTCATATGAACTTTATTGTTACTTTTTTGTGTCACTCTTTTTTGGATTGTTTTTTGTGTCACCATTTGCATTCACACTATGAACCATAATATATGACTTCAATTTTTCCTATCATTTTTTTTTGTCACTCATTTTTTGAAATGTTTGGTTTTTGGTGTCACTCTATGATGCCAATCTTTGTAGTTACGAAATAAAGTAAAAATACTTGATATAAAAAAAGAGT